GACGCTGCGTATGCCGTGGTGTGTCAACGCTGCAGGTGCCATGGCGTGCCGACGCTGCGTATGCCGTGGTGTGTCAACGCTGCAGGTGCCATGGTGTGACAACGCTGCGTATGCCGCGGTGTGATAATGCTGCGTGTGTCGCGCTGTGTCAACGCTGCGTATGCCGTGGTGTGTCGACGCTGCGTATGCCGTGGTGTGTCAACTCTGCGTATGCCGTGGTGTGTCAACGCTGTGTATGCCGTGGTGTGACAACGCTGCGTGTGTCGCGCTGTGTCAACGCTGACCTACGCCTCAGCTTCGTCACCTTCTATCTCCCCCTTCAGACGAAGGCGCGCAAAGTCCTCGAATATGATGTCGTCGTCCTGGTCGGCGTAGACGTGGGTCTCATCGCTGTAACAGTGACACACGCGCACGGCTTCAGCAATATGTACGTTGCCGGCCGCCCTCCTCGCTTACACCACGCACCGCATGCGTCCGGAGGGCACGCCTCCCATCACCCAGCGCTGACCTCCGACCGCTAACACACGACTTCTTTGCGAGCCCGATGTGCAGCCTGCAGAGAAACGCCTCGAGGGTGGGGCGGGTGTATGTTTGTGTGTGTACGAGAGGTGTATTGTTGAGAATGAGTGGCATGCTCGAGCTGCTTCACATCTAGGTTTGTGCTAGATGCAATAATGTAACACGCGTGGAGTAGGGTTACTGCAGGTTAGGGTGGCGGCTAGTGCTCTGCTGCGTTACATTAGTGCTGTCTAGATTTGTGCGTGCGCGCATCGTGGACTGACCCGGCCGTCGTTTTTGTAGTGTGTAGAGACGTCTCGTCTAGCTCTGTTGCCACCTCTCTCCGTGCGTGATTAGCGCGTAAACTTTATTTCCCATGTCTGATCCATCGTCACTGAATGTGTGCGCACGAGTTTTTCCTGCGGAGAGAGGAAAACACACACGCACACGCACACACGCGCACGGATGCACTAGGATCTGTGATGCGCCAGGATCTCTGATGCGCCAGGATCCGTGATGCGCCAGGATCCGTGATGCGCCAGGATCCGTGATGAGCCAGGATTCCTGATGCACTGGCATTCTCTACGCAACAAAAATACTCGAGTACGTGCTCACCCCCGATCGTACGACGAGCGCATTACACGGACATGCGAGGTTCACCCCGCAAGACGCCATGCAAGAGATCCTGGCGCATCAGAGATCCTGGTGCATCACGGATCCTAGCGCATCAGGGATCCTGGCGCATCACAGATCCTAGCGCATCACGGATCCTGGCGCATCACGGATCCTGGCGCATCAGGGATCCCGGTGCATCACGGATCCTGGCTTAACAGGGATCCTGGTTCATCACGGATCTTAGCGTAACCGGGAACCTAGTGCATCACAGATCCTAGCGTACCTGGGATCCTGGTGCATCACGGATCCTAGCGTAACCGGGATCCTAGCGCACCCGGGATCCTGGTGCATCATGGATCTTAGCGTAACCGGGATCTTAGTGCATCACGGATCCTAGCATAACCGGGATCCTGGTCCATCACGGATCCTAGATTAACCACACGGGTCCTAGTGAACCAGAATCCATGATGCACCAGGATCCTGGGTACGCTAGGATCCGTGATACACTAGGATCCCGGTTACGCTAGGATCCGTGATGCACTAGGATCCCAGTTACGCTAAGATCCATGATGCACCAGGATCCCGGTTACGCTAGGATCTGGGATCCCGGTTAATCTAGGATCCGTGATGGACTAGGATCCCGGTTATGCTAGGATCCGTGATGCACTAGGATCCC